AGTTTGATGAACCAACCCTCGTGTTAGACCTTGACTCTTACAAGCTCCAAGCGTTTACTGAAGCATACTCGGAACTTGAATCTTCTTTATCTGGATTGAATGTCCTAATTGAGACCTACTTTGCTGATATTCCTGCTGATGCTTACAAGACCCTCACTTCTCTCAAGGGTGTCACAGCATATGGATTTGATCTCATTCGCGGAACTCAGACCCTTAATTTGATCAAGGGTGGCTTTCCCAGCGGGAAGTACCTCTTTGCTGGAGTGGTTGATGGAAGGAACATCTGGGCTAATGATCTTGCTGCATCTCTAAGTTTGCTACAGGGTCTTGAGGGTGTTGTTGGCAAAGGTTATTATTAAACATACATTCATGGAATATAATGGCATATGTCTAGTATTGTACCCTGATATCTCTATGTCCTAAATTTTGTGCAGACAAACTTGTTGTCTCCACTTCCTGCTCGCTTCTTCACACAGCTGTTGATCTTGTAAATGAGACCAAACTTGATGATGAAATCAAGTCATGGCTGGCTTTTGCTGCCCAGAAAATTGTTGAAGTCAATGCATTGGCCAAGGCATTGTCTGGTGCAAAAGATGAGGTACCTTCAATTCTTTTAGTTCCTGTAAAATCTGATGTAGAATTTTTAAGCGCGCTCTGAAACAAAGGAGGCAGAATAACTCAGCAATGTCCGTTACCTGAAAACGTATTTAAGTTCCTTGTCTTTGCTTGAGTGTGAGGTTGGAAATGTTGTAGGAGGTGTATTGCCAAATGACATTATCACTTGAATGGAAATTTGGCTGACGAAGTTTCTTTTTTATATTGCAAATCACAAATGATTTTTGAAACATGCCACTGGGAGAGTTGAACAACGGTATGATTAGACATTTAATACACTTTGTATCCCAGTCTTTGTAGAAGCGTTGATTTAGATCCTAGGTTTGTGTCATTCCGGTTTGTTTCATTACACTATTCCATGAATAACTCGTTTTCTGCCTCCATTTCAGGCCTTCTTCTCTGCTAATGCGGCAGCTTTGGCTTCAAGGAAGTCCTCTCCAAGAGTGACCAATGCGGCTGTTCAGAAGGCTGTGAGTTTCACTTTTCCCTCTGTTTGGTTCATCTGGATTTGTTGAAAGTAATTGTTCTGCTCCTTCTAACAACTTCTTTACTTGCGCTGTCAGGTTGCCGCATTGAAGGGTTCTGACCACCGCCGTGCCACTAATGTCAGTGCTAGACTGGATGCCCAACAAAAGAAGCTTAACCTCCCAATCCTTCCAACCACTACTATTGGATCCTTCCCTCAGACCGTAGAGCTGAGGAGGGTACGCCGTGAATTCAAAGCTAACAAGTGAGAAGATTTTTCAGTTAATTTCTGGCCTTGCTTTTCGGGCCAAACAAAGCGGGGGAGGGGGAATCCCTGCCCTGCTTTCTTCGCCCCATGCCACTTACTTAATGACCCTAATTTTTATTTCTTCAGGATCTCCGAGGAAGAGTATGTTAATTTCATTAGAGAAGAAATCCGCAAAGTTGTTGAACTCCAAGAAGAGCTTGACATCGATGTCCTTGTACATGGGGAACCAGAGGTTAGCACTTACTTTTGCATATTGACAAGATATCGGTGCACCAACTGAACATTAGTGATTCACTTCCCCTACCTCCGAATGCCTTTAAATGCAGAGAAACGATATGGTTGAGTACTTTGGTGAGCAGTTGTCCGGCATTGCCTTCACTGTTAATGGATGGGTGCAATCTTATGGATCTCGTTGCGTGAAGCCACCAATCATCTATGGTGATGTGAGCCGCCCAAAAGCCATGACTGTGTTCTGGTCATCTATGGCTCAGAGCATGACCAAGCGCCCAATGAAGGGAATGCTTACCGGTCCGGTGACCATTCTGAACTGGTCCTTTGTTAGAGTCGACCAGCCTAGGTACAAACTCGACACCCATAATAAGATGTTGTAGGGAAATAAACGAGAAAGACTTTTCATCTCAAATTTCACTTTATCGTTAGATAGCTGACATATACATAAATTTATTTGCAGATCTGAGACTACCTATCAGATTGCCTTGGCTATTAAGGAGGAAGTAGAAGATCTTGAGAAGGCCGGCATCAGCGTGATCCAAATTGACGAGGCTGCTTTGAGGGAGGGATTGCCGCTGAGGAAGTCAGAGCAAGCTCACTACTTGGACTGGGCTGTCCACGCCTTTAGGATCACCAACGTTGGTGTGAAGGACACCACTCAGGTATTTTACCCCCTAGATATAAACGGGTTAGAATATATTTCCACACCCACATGTGCTATTCTGATGTGAACATGATTCTGATGTGAACAATGGAACGCAGATCCACACCCACATGTGCTATTCCAACTTCAATGACATCATCCACTCAATCATTGACATGGATGCTGATGTGATCACCATTGAGAACTCTCGTTCCGATGAAAAGCTTCTCTCAGTGTTCCGTGAAGGAGTGAAGTACGGTGCCGGAATTGGCCCTGGTGTGTATGACATTCACTCTCCCAGGATCCCACCAACAGAGGAAATTGCTGACAGGATCAACAAGATGCTGGCAGTGCTGGAGAAGAACATCTTGTGGGTGAACCCTGACTGTGGTCTCAAGACTCGCAAGTACGCTGAGGTGAAGCCAGCCCTTACTAACATGGTTGCTGCCGCCAAACTCATCCGCAATGAGCTCGCCTCTGCCAAGTGAATGGTACAAGAGTCGGACCTCACTAGGTATACTGGTTCGTCTTCGCCTAAAGAAAAAGAAAAAGGGGAAAAAGGGGGGAATATATCTGTTTTTTTTTTTAACAGCGGAAATTTATCTGTGTTGTTGTTGCAATAACTGTGTGATGAATATTTAGGTGTTTAGTTCGCGCTTCCCCACCCCCGGATTCTTCTGTTCTCTAAATATTTGTATTTTTTTTTTGGCTTGGCCAATGCCCCAGTTCTTGTTGAATTGCAATTTACCAGTTTTGTGGTAACAACCACCCAAATCTTGTCTCGTCTATTTCATTATCTATCAATGCGGACCAAGTAAAAACCAAAATATATTGATATGTATATAAAAATCTGAGGATTATTACAAATTTCAATCTTTTAAATTTATCTTCATTTTAATTTTGGTTCTTCAAGCTTTAAATTGTAAATTTTAGTCCATCAAGTTTTTTTTTATTTACAACATTGGTTTTTATAATCTATTAAAAATTTAAATCATTTTATCTTTTCAGGCTATAGTGGTTTGAAACTCGGAGGATTAAAATTAAAATCAAACTTAAAAGATAAAAGTAGAAGATTACATTAACTCAAAATCTAAATATGTTACTGGCCCAAAAAATGACTGAACATTGACATCTGCTGGCAAAAGGTAGAACAACAGACTATAGTACTCAACGGCCATTTCGGACGCTGAACATGGTAAGGCTTAAAACATATATAGACTCTATGCTCCATAACCCACGAGGAATTTTCCGAGTCCCGAATGATACATCAGAGTAACAAAGACAAGTAGTAGCGATCACGTTTCGTCATTAATTTGTAAATGAGGTTACCTAAAAGCTTCTCCGGATGACCGGGTACCCTGTTAGCCCAGGTGAAAACAACGCATGCTCCTCTGCCCTACCAATCTGAGGGAACCATCCACACCGTAATTTTAAACCACTTCACCCGTAAAATATGTAGGGCCTATCATTCTCTTCGTGAGCCGTTTCATATCTTGACGGTCCTGGATGGAAGGTAAAAACTTCATCATTTTCACTTAAATCAGCAAATAAGCGGGAAAGTGATTTTGTTGGTTCCATCACATACCGGAGCCAAAGATATTATCGCAGAATACCTATACTTGTATTTCCATGTAGGGTCCTCAAAAGAAATTATTTTGTGTATGATTTACAAATAACAAGATCTTGTTACAAATTTTACATCTTATATTAATTATATATAAAAAAAACCTGTCCATCTTTTGGCCAAAACAAAAAACATATTCTACTGAAATGTGCCGGCAGGATTTCTAGTAATTCCAAATATTTCCGTGCACACAGCAGGGTTAGCAACAGATTGAGTATTGATGCGTCTCAGAAAGGGCTGAGCATATTGATTGTTAGTTTACTGCAAGGAATAAATTATCAAGGTAAACATAACTTTTTTCCAGATTTTTATCTGCGATTGTAATTGGTGAATCCAGAAAATGTAATTATCGTCTTTAACTAATGAAAATATCAGATATGCTGTGGGCGTGCCAGTTGGCCCACACTTCTCTGAGGCCGAACAAGTCAAGGGAAAGCTGTTTTGCCACGGTTAACAAGGAAAATCTTAATCCCAGAAACTTACCAAACAAAACAATATCGAATAAGGTTCGAATTCCTGCTAAAAGAGACACTCACATTTAGTACTCGACAGTATTTTAAATAGAATTGCTTCCAATAGGAGAATATTTATACTTTAGCAAAAAAAGAATATCGAATAATTCTCATTCATACACAACAGTCCCAGCATATAAATTAGCGAATTCCTCTTTTCTCTGAAGGGGAAAAATAACCACAACGGACGGGACATTCCAGCGATACGATCATTCAGTCACACTGAATACCCTCTCCAATACCACAAAGGAAGCAAAGTGAACTATTTTAGTCCATTGGAATTTTAGTATTCTGCAATATTTGAATGCACCAACCTCCTAACTAGGAAGCATCATAAAAGATAAATGTAATTAGTTCTTAAACATTTTTTTACCATTTATTTTCGCTCAAACCAAACTCCACTGCCGTCTTAAATCTTCGTTTGCACAAGGCCTAAAGATTCATTATAGTTTAAATAAGTCTGATCCGGCCGAGCCGTCCTTAGTCGTCTGTGTCACAATCAAACATGCCTCCATAGCAACACTTTCTTTCCCCTTTGAATTCCTATAAATTTGAAGCATTCTCAATACTGCAAACTCAAACGCAGATAAAACAATTGAAGCACATCCATAGCGACAGGAAAAAGAAAATATATCATCAAGCATGGCTCTCTCTCGTGCCATCATCCTTGCTCTACTCGCTGCTACCTTCTTTCCAGCCATTTCCATGGCAGAAGATTTCACAGTTGGAGATGAAATGGGTTGGACAGTGGGGTTCGATTATCAATCCTGGAGTGCAAACAAGGTCTTCCGCGTTGGAGACAGGCTCAGTAAGTTCATCAATTCACAATAATCCTTGTTTTTGCCACATATGTTTGCTTCTATGCGGGAGGATGGAACAGAAACTGAGTTTTTAGTTCCTTCTTACCAAATATTGCAGTATTCAAGTATGGTGCAGGAGAGCACAATGTGTTCGTGGTGACCGGAACAGACTTCAGGAACTGTAGTGTTCCCGCAGCAAGTCAGGGATTAACCACAGGAGAGGATGTGATTGTGTTGGAAACTCCAGGCAGACAATGGTACTTATGTGGGGTTGGGGATCACTGCCAAAATGGGCAAAAGCTTTTCGTAAATGTTTTGCCTTCTGAAACAGAGGCTCCATCTCCTTCACCTCTATCATCTGTCTTGCCCATAACTGCTACTCCGTCTTCAGCTCCAGCTCCAGCTCCGTGGTCTCCTCCTTCCTCATCTCTGCTTGCCAAATATAGATGGCTTCCCAGGAAGATGATTACAATATTTCACCACTAAATGCTGCGGCTGTTTTAGCATATTTCTTGGGGGGAGGTCCTTCTCTGGCGAGCTGCTAGTCCACTAATAATACTCTTAATAATATCTTATGTTTTCAAATCTCAAGCCTTGATTCCACAGTGATGCGATTTGCGAGATGTACCGTTTTTGCAGCAATTTGATATGTTTCTTTTTTCCACCCGGATGTGTTAAGATGCAGTTGTTATTCGCAGGTTAATGCCAATTCCTCTGTTGTTATGATGAAATCTGTTCATTTTCTTTTGCTATTGCTTATTCTACTCGTGCATCAGCCATTTATTAAGCCCCACCCCACCCCTCACATAGAGGTGGAAACAGGTCAGGCCAGGCCACACCCTTAACAGGCCTGGCCTGTGGTGAGGCCTGTTGGCCTGAGCCTGGCCTGTGGCCTGTGAAAGGCCTTTTAATCGGCCTGAGCCTGGCCTGTAAGCAGGCTTGGCCTGGCCTGTGGCCTGTTAAGAGGCCTGTTTTTTATCAAATTTTAAACACACATAAATCAATTCAAAATTACAATAATTCAACCTAATTAATCTAAAATACAAACAAAAAAAATATGAAATTAACACAATTTGTAAAACATGTCCCTTTAGGCCCAAAAAAAATCTAATATGAAAAATTATTAGAAAACATAATTTCACTCTAATATAAAAATATCACTTCATCCCATCTCTAGTATAAAAATTAGTTGATGACTAGATCTAGTTTAAAATATGAAACATCCTTAATCCCTTTTATATTTTAAATTTATCATTTATTCAAACTAATTTACTAATAAAATGATATTTGATCATGTTGTTAAACATGGTTGTTTTTTAAAAAAATGTTACAGTTATTATAATTTATTTATTTATTTAAATTAATTAACTATTATAATAAGAATTAGATTGAGCACACATATATACGGTATAAAACATAATAGGTCAATTCTATATATATATATATATATATATTCTATATAAGATTAATAAGAAAAGCATGGATCAAATAAATGAATAATACTTTTTTTAATGCATTTATGTTTTCTTTCTCTGTTTAAATATGTGTCATTATACATACATTAATTATTTTTATTATAGAGAATGGAAATGAAATGAAGCATGCAATGGGCTCTAGATAACACGTTTATGTGGATGGAGTTTTCTCAATTAACTAATCAGAATAGCAGATTCCCTCCTATCAATTTACAATTTTAACCTAAAAAAAAAAAGATAACAGGCCCAAGCCGCCTGACAGGCCTAACAGGCTTACTATCAGGCCTGAACCTGGCCTGATAAAGTAAACAGGCCTTTTTACAGGCCTGAGCCTGGTCTGATATCTAAACAGGCCAGGCCAGGCCAGGCCATTTACAGGCCAGGCCACAGGCCCCTGACAGGCCGCCTGGCCTATTTCCACCCCTACCCTCACACACACCAAAAAAAAGAAAATAAAATAAAATAAAAGAACGAAGGGGCAAGTTGCTCAGAACACCTAGTCACTGTATCATAGTACTCGCAATAAAGAAAACTACAGACTCATAAAAATAATAATAAAGCAATTACTATCACACATGTTAATTGATAACTTCATGATGAACCATAGGAAGACATTAATTCTTTTATGATTTAATCCCGTGTTACTGCTGAGGATAGTTGTGAAACTAAGGGGTGGTGTGGGGAAAAAACAAATCATAATTTTAAAAGTAATTTTATCTAAATAAATATGTAAAAGAAGTTTGGTTTCGATTTGTATGAAAATACCATTTAAAAATGTTTTTTTTGTGGATTTCAAACAACCCTCGGGTTTTACGAGCGGAAACGCCCGTACTCCCCCATTTTAACTTCAATGGCACTTCAATCATTCAGTATCTTAAATTTAAGCAAATTAGTGTGGATCGTCTAATTTAACTGGAAAGGGAGATTGAGGAAGATGATTTGACTATCAGACGTATAACCAAACACCGGATTTCTTCTGTCAATGGAAAGGAGTCGAAGGACAGGGATTGGGAACGATATTCTCACCGCATGAGCACCAAGCCAAGTCATAAAATCGTTTTTTGTGTGTCATGTGTTAGTTTTTCTCATGGGCCTCCAACACCCAAATATCGTCGTCGCGGGCTTGCACTAGTAACTGAACACACATGCCTGCACGGCTGCCCTCGCGTGTTGGTAAATATATAATGACAAAATTTATGTTCATTTCTTTATACTGATTAGGTTCAGTTCTTCAATTAAATCTTAATACTAGTTTTTTTTAATAATAAAAATCCTACTAGATAAAATTTTAAAATTCTGTTAAGTCATCATCATTAATAGTGAAAATCACATATGACAATATAGGATTGAAGAATTGGGCTAAATGAATTTAAATAAATAAACCGAAATTTTGTCTACATATATATAATTTTAAAATATAATAACTACATTTTTTCCCAACAAAAAAAAAGGAACGACTGCAAGAACATCAGATTAAATGTGTTGAGTGCTGAGTGTATTGTGGGCCTAAAGCCCAATAGTAGCCCAAGTCTCATACACACTTCTCGGTTACGATTCCATGTGCTGGGGGAGTTTCGAACGAAGTTTCCAAATTCTGCTCGAAACAAAAAACTTATGCATGAGGCCTAATTAATGTTCGCGCGGGTGACTCACTCAATATGCATTTGTATTCGGCAAAGCCGTCCTTGGTCGTCCGCATCACCATCAATGTCACACTCAAATTACTCAAAAAAGCAACATTTGGACTCCTCTTGAAAGCTTATAAATTTGCTCACATCCTCAGTGTAATCTCATTCCAAAACGCCAACAAATCATATCATCAGCCTCATTGATCACTCAATTATTGAAGCATGGCTCTTTCTCGTGCTCTCATCCTTGTTGTCCTCGCTGCCACCTTCTTCTCAGCCACCCCCGCCGCCAAAGAATTCGTCGTCGGTGACGACCATGGCTGGACAATCCAGTTCGATTACCAAGCCTGGGCTTCCGACAAGGTCTTCCACGTCGGAGACAAACTCAGTAAGCTTGCTCGCTCGTTACATTGCTTCTTGACAAATTAACCTGAATATATGTACTTACTTGATGAATATTTACTGCATCAATCACCTCTCTGAGCAATATATATTATATCTATACGGCAGTATTCAGGTATCCTACTGGGAAGCACAATGTGTTCAAAGTGAATGGAACAGACTTCAGGAACTGCAAAGTTCCTGCAGCAGCTCAGGGATTAACCACCGGAGAGGATGTGATTGTGTTGGAAACTCCGGGCAGGAAATGGTATTTGTGTGGAGTTGCAGATCACTGCCAGAATGGGCAAAAGCTCTTCATTAATGTGTTGCCTTCTGAAGCACTAGCTCCATCTCCATCACTGTTATCATCTGTGTTGCCCATAACAGCGTCTCCGTCTCCGTCTCCGTCCCCATCTCCATCTCCAGCTCCGTCGTCGTCTTCGCCTTTACGTGCTAAATATCCACGGCTGTCCAGGAAGCTAATTGCAGTGTCCCAATACTAATCCTCGCGCCGGCCACCCAATTCTCTTCCGAGTTGCTTCTAAATTACACCGTTGCGTTCTTTTCCCATTTTGTTCACGAATGTAATTTCTACTAGGTATTATTATTCATACGTTGTTCCTTATTCGATTAATAAAAACGTTATTCACTTGGGGTGTTGATGATATATTTTGATACGAATCCGGCGGCTTTGAATTCGGTATCGAGGACGGAGTCGAATCCCTTCATCATTTACGGATGGAGGAAAGCCTCCCTGAAATTCTTCTTACTATATGTTCATCAAAAAGCCAGAGAGATGGATACTTGTAATAACTTTCGATAATCTGCCTACCAAAAATTGAGCGTTAGAACTTTAACATCTGCAAATCAAATGTAAAGTATTTCTAGCTAGGGGTTGAACTTGCAATAAACCATTTCTATCAAAATTTTACATCTTTATTGATTTCCATATAAAACCAAAAACAAACTAATTAAATCGTCAAAATTATGTTTGTTTTTAAGTAAAATCCAAAAGCGACATTATTAAAAACTATGCCTAGATGATGGCCCAAAAAAAAAAAAAGAACTGCTTAGATAACTGATCGCTCTACGAACACAATAAATATTGTCTCTAGTCATGAATATAAACCCAGTTTATTAATTCGTGACAATTTAAAAATTACTTCATAAAAAACCTAGTTTATTGAAAAAATGTGCTATTTTTTTAAATATATTTTTTTTAATGTGAATATTAAATGTGGGATATAAAGAAAGAGGAAAATGACAGAATCTATTAGGGTAATGCAGGAAAACTTAAATGAGGCAAATAAAGAAAATTGCATTTTTAGAACCAAAGCACATCCTTCAGTTAGCTATCGAGATGAGTATACGATACCTCAATTTATCCAAAAGCAAACAACTTTATCCCCATTTCTGGACAAATGTGACTTCCAGTCTGCTGTGTCGTTACTGCAAAATTAAGCCTGTTCTTGAAACAGAAATTAAAGTTTATGCGTAGGATCTCTCGTGTCTTACTAAATCAAAGAGTTTTATTGATTTCTAGTGGGAGTTGTAACTTGTAAGTCCATGTTTCGTCTGTTGTTGGGCTGATTTCCGCTTTTCGGTATTTGTAATTAAACTTTTACGACTTAAAATTTTTTCGCAATTTATAATTTATCTGTGTGTGTGTGTGTCTCTCTCTCTTTTATATTGACAACCAAGGTTAGTATCAATTGTAAAAGAATATTTTCGTGCATTTAGTCCCTTTGTAAATTTGTAGTTTTTTTGGTGGTAATTTTAAAATTTCATGGTCGCTGTTTAATTAATATTCTATTTACTCGCTGTTTAATAAAGGCATTCACGTGGTGTCACCCGCCAATGTTTTGATTGGACTTTGAATTCAGTGTTGAAAGTGGTGTCAATCGCTTTATGATTTGCTGGTTGAACTTTCAATGGGCCTCACAAAAGTAAAGTGATGAGATTTCAGATTTATAAGATAATTCACAATAATCTGGCTCCCAAAAATGAATCGTTAAATTTTTAACACCTATAAATTAAGTGTGTGTGTGTGTGTGTATATATATATAAAGTATTTTCTAACACCAATTGATTTATTTGTTAGGGTTGAAATCTACGATAAACCAAGTCAATGTGGGGTAACTAGCTGCGCTTTTATCAAATTCAATGATTCTAGTGGTTTCTAACTTTAAACCAAGCACGCCCTAAGTATTATATAGCTTTTATCACGGTATATTCCTATATATAGCAGGCATTCAAATTGTAAACTCAGTCTTAGTGTAGAATGTAGACGGCAAAGAAATTATTTAGGGAAAAGGCCAGGTTTGTTCAAACCGTAAATTTCGCTTAAAATAATGTTGTGATCTATATAATGACGAGGCCCACAAAGCATGTATTTCTCTTTAAATTTGAATAAAAATAAAAAAAAAAGGATTAAAATTCATTTTAGCTGTATTAACATATTCTTTCAATCAAGAAATACATGTTCTTATTCAACTGACGATCATCATCTTTTTAATATATATCCAACGTTCAGTTTCACCCTATCCGAAGATTAAACTCAAAATCTTAAACAAGGAAATGTGTTGTGTGCGAGAATTTAAATAAAAGTGACTTTCACCTTATCTAATCGTGTTATTTACATGTGATCACGAATAATGTTAAATTTAATTTGCGTGTTTTGCTTATGTAGAGGCTTGCAATGGAAGGGATCAGGAATTAGAGGAGGCAACAGATGGAACATTATTGGCAAAAGAAGGCGACAACGAGGGCCCCAAAGGAGTATTATTTGTGTCCCTCTCGTTTCACACTCTCCTTGTTGTGTTGGACCACTTCAATGATCACAATATCTTCGGATTATCCCCTTTTCTGAACTATTACGTATATATCAATGCTCTACATTATAATTTAATATTAATGATCATCGTAAGACGCCGACCGCAGGCGGGACTGCCATGAAATCAAATCCACCCTATATATATATTACGTGCCCCAACCCAAATCATGTATCGCTGCGACAGCAAACACTTCATCTAAATCAACAAATATCTATCATAACTATCAAATTGCTACTCAGACATGGCTTCTTTCTCTTCTGCTACTGCTGGCGTTTCCTTGCTTGCCATCTTCATGGTCTTGCAGCTTTCCTCAGTCGCCATGGCCGCCGATCACATTGTGGGCGGTGACAAGGGTTGGACCACCAACTTCAACTACTCCGAATGGGCCAAGGATCAAGTTTTCGTTGTCGGGGACAACCTTGGTACGCATGTTTCGTTTTATTATTCTCTTTTGTGTACGTGTATATGTGTGTGTGTGTGTGTGTATGAAACCAAGTGTTGAAATTTTATGCGATTGTGTGTTTGTGTGGCAGTGTTCAACTATAACAATACGAAGCACAATGTGTTCCAAGTGAACGGGACGATGTTCCAGAGCTGCACAATTCCAGACTCATCAAATTCAAACCAGTCACTGAGCTCTGGCCATGACGTGATTCGACTTGACACAGAGGGCAAAAAGTGGTACATTTGTGGTTTTAGCAATCACTGTCGTGATCTTGGCATGAAGCTTTCCGTCAACGTTACGCCTTCTGCTGCTTCTTCTCTCCTCTCCTCTGCCTCTCTGCTGCTTCTCGTCGCAGCCATGCTTGCCACTGCCACTATCTCCATCTGACCTTCCTTAATACTTCAGTCGCCTCATCCTTCTTGACCCCTGCATTTTTCAATAAAATAATAACGGTGTTTCCCCACTCCTTTTTAAAGAAACGTTGCTCTTGGTTGTTCTTATTCAACTGTTATATGATATATTATATTGTTTCTTTATAAGCTTACTACTGTAGTTTTATATGATGTTTCACGCTTCAACTCATAAGCCTGAGGAAAAAGCATGTTTTATTAACGGGCAAGATGAATGCCGAGGTTAATAAGAGTATTCACCTGTGTTCACCAGTTAAGGTATTTTCCAAAAAGAAAATATTTGGCATGATTAATAAGCCAGGATCAACATAATTTGGATCATGAGTAATATTTGTAAACCATGCTATCGAGAAAAGGAGGAAAAGACCGAAGTGAGAAGAAAATGAGTGAATCGTTGCATGTACTGCTATTTCCATTGGAAACATTATCTGCTGTCGCTTACAGACATCACGTGAAGACTCATGGAATAAAGAAATGTTTGCGACCACTATAGTGGGAGTCGTCAAGTCACGACATGATACAATTTGAAGGAAAATTCTTCCATTTTTCAAAACCTCATCATCAATTCCTGGACATGCCACTTGTAGGATCGGTACAAGTGTCGAGGAAAGTAATTAAGCACCATCTCAGTAACCAAAATCCTTTAATCTTATTGGGAAAAATAGCTTCCAACTCAAATCGCTTCTGATATACGGCTTCTTTATGATATCATTGCCCAGCCAATGCATTGTTGTGGATTTGGAACCCCGCGTAATGGGTTTGTTTGAACGTTCTTCAATTCCTACTTTCTTGTGCATTCCAAGGGCTTGCCTGCCAATTGGATCTCACGTTTTCTTCTAATAGCTTTTGACGCAGTGAAGCAATATCACCATATTTGTATTCTTATTGCATTAGTTGAATCAGTGTGCGCTCTCCAATATGAAAAGTCATGCCACGTATGTGGAAAGAGATATACAGCGTGCAGAACGAACAAAGGAGTGAATATTTTAGCATGATTACGTACTGACCAACTCTCTGCAATTCCAGTCACTCATTCATTAGTTATTACCTTTTTCTTCTTTGCAGCCAACATGAGAATGAAAACAAAAATAGTTTAATCTTCTGTGAAATAGTGACCCCCGAACTATACTGCGATATTTATTGCTTTGTGGTCTGGTGGCGTGCTGTAACTTCTGGCTTGCAACTAATATTCTTGTCAGCCTTTCAGGACTTGGGCTTTTTTCGCTTCATGATGAAAACATCAGCCAATATGGACTCAGGATGGGGACAGAAAGATAAAAAGGAAAGAGAAGTTCCTTTTATTATTTATTTTAACTTGTTTTCGGCACAACAGAGGTAACTTTTGAGACGACTATCAAATTGTGGTATAATCCTGCATATGCCATTGCTTGTAAAGCTAAATATTTTTTCACACACAAGGAGGTCATAGAAGCTTGATCTTATTATCCCTGTTACCAACTTGCTTTGCTGCTATAGGATGTAGAAGCAGACGAGGCTGCCTAAGTAGAAGAATGGGTGGTTCTTGTGGCCAGAGCAACCAGAAAGTCTCTCAAGTCTCCAGATGGAATGCTTTGATAAATTACATCACCAAGTTCCTTCGCATATTTTTGCTTGAAAACCCTTTTGATCTCGTCCATGTCTATCTCGGCCCTGCTGATTAGTGTCCGTACCAAAGTTCCTGTGTCAATCGTTCCCCCTTTGGTGCTGTTGTACAGTGCCTGCAAATATAAACCCGGTCAACTTCTTTTCTCTGAGCTTTAACATGACCAATTTCTTGCTATAAAGCTAATCACAAGGAATTTTTAGACTACCTTTGCATAGTAGCTTGCCGGATTGCAGATGCATTTCACAACCAGAATAAGAGACTTCTCAAATTCCAGACTGTTTCCCCTTTTGAGTGACTGAAACACAAAGCGGGCGGTTGAAAAGCATGATAAAAGGGGCGAGATTAATTATTAACGGCATGTTTGTCTCTTACCTTTGTGTAGTCATGTCCATATATGTGCTTATAACTTAAAAATGTCAGCTTCAGCTGGGCAATGCTTCTCTTACTGAGAATTTCAAGTACCACTGATTCATCAATTGCTCCTGAGCCTCCCTCTCCAGTTCCATAGAGCCTCCTTGCGTCACACTTGGATATATGCTGACTAGTCTCAGTTTGGTGAGCTTCGTGTGATGCAGTCAATGCCACAAGAATCTGCTTAACCAAACCCATATCCCTAATTATTCTACAAACACCTAACAGAATCCATAGCCATAAGACACAGATTGAGTAATACCCACGAGGAAAAAAGAACTCGCCTTTTGAAAGGGATGAGGAGGGTCCAGATCGATAATGTCTTGGTCCAAGTTCCTTCTGAATCTTCTATTGTATGCCTGTTTGATCAAAAGAATATGACTTGATTTCCGACCCACAAAGATTTCCACCAGAGCCTTGAAATTGGTGTCGTCTTGCTGGAGGGCTTCCCTGGATATAATAGCATCCCTATCATGCGGGTTAAGCATCCACAGGGACAAAGCAGAGGATTTCACAGACGAAACCTCTGCTTCGTATCTTTGAAGATGACCTATCAAGTCTTCACCATACGCTGCCTCATAGGTCTTTCTGAGTTGTTGTCTTTGAGATTGAGTCAGACGAGAAAGATAAGGAATCAAATGGCTCAAGCTTCCCAAAGAATCATGAATGGTCTTACAATCAAGCTCCAGGTTGAGATTAGCCGTTGGAAGAACATTAGCTGCCATAAGAGGAAAACAGGGGAAATGGTGGCTCGCTTCAGCAAGTTAGCAATGCCGAGTCACAGTATATATGGAAGGAAGGACAGGCAATCCAATCCATTACTTGAAGGTTAAGGCAGGAATGGTAACTTTTTTTTTTTTTTGGGGTGTAGAATTGATGGAGGGGGGATGGGGAGTAGCACGTGATTATTATCCCATTAATAATTATAACTCAATAAATATTCATCGAATTAAGGGATAATGAAATGATACAATTATATGAGAATATAATGAAGGTAATTGTCAAGGGTAGTGAGGTATTTGGGGGTGGAAAAAGAAAAAGGGCAAAAGAGGAGAGGAAGTTTCTGAGAATGTGAGAGGGAAAGAGGGTGGCTTTTGGGATGTGGGTGGCATGTGCAATTTGTTCTGTGGCTGATGATGGCGGTTAATTGGCGTCCAAGTAGACTGTGACTCAGTGATTCTGCTGATTATTCTTTGAGGAACATCGTGGAGAAGGACTAGAATTCAACCAATTATTTAAGGAACAGGGGTGAGTTGCAGATTGGGTGAGAAGCGTCCTTTTTCCCCCATAATCTGCTGCTTAGATCCTTTTCCACCATTTTTCCTTACCCCGTTCCACCTACTTTTTCATTTGTCTTTCCATTTTTCTGTTCTTTTGGGAAATCACCTTCAGGTTCACACAACAAGACAAATTACCAAAAAAAAAGAATCTCTCGAAAACATTAAACTACTCTGAATTTCCCTTGATCCTTAACTGTAAATAATTTAATAAATATGTACTAAAATTTCCTTCCTTTTTTTTCCCTCAAATAATCCCTATAATTTATTCGGAGACTCGCGTGAGAGAGTACCTGGCATTTGGTCAACACAACCCTTAGACTAACCCGAATCGCGGCCCCACGACTTGACTTTTTTTTCCCCGAACTATATTCCCCACGAAAATGTTTGCAAGGCAATTTTTTTCCAAAAAAAAAAAAGAGACAAATGGAAGAAGGGCTGGGGATTGGGAGGACGTGGGGAATGGGGCCCTGCACAGGGCATAGGGTAGGCCTGCGCCCTCCCTCGATGTTGCCGACTTTTTGTGATTGCAACTCATATGCTCATTAAATTCAGGGGTGTTCACGGGACGGATCGGGACCGGGACAGGTCTGTCCCGGTTCCGTCCCGATGAACAGTAACAGGACAGATTTTCTGTCCCGTGTCCCGGCCCGTCCCGGGGTTGTCTCGGTCCCGGTCGGGACGGGACGGATCCGGGACGGGACCGGGACGTCCCGAAATATTTTTTTAATTTTTAAAAAAAAATCTAATTTTTTTAATTATATTTTTTTGACCTTAAATCTTATAAAAACATCTTTTTTATTTGTTTGGGTACTCTTAAACAAAAGCTCAAAATATTACATATAATAGTTATTAAAAACTCTAAACAAAAGCTTTTAACACAATAAAAACTTGCTAAAAAATCTAATCATCAATAATCTCAAATCATTAACAAATATAAAAACTCTAAATAAATATATCCATAGTTCCATACAATAGTCTCAAATCTTAAAAAAATATGAAAAAAAATGATATTATATAAAAAGTTAAAAAAAATTAATTTTTTTTTTAAAAAAAGGGACCGGGACGGGACGACCCCGTCTCGTCCCGGAAAATTTCGGGACGGATCCGTCCCGTCCCAATAAGACGGGGACCGGAACGGGCCGACCGGGACGGGCCGGCTTTGAACACCCCTAATTAAATTCATTCTTTTTTACTTAACGAATGTTTAGATGGAAACTAAATTATAATTTTAGAAGTGATTTTACGGTTTACGAATTAAATATATGAAGGAGTTTATCTCGATTTAGAAAAAAATATTTCTGAGAAGCACTCTTCAGGATATCCAAATACTTCCTAAGTATTCAAACTCACAATTTCCTTGCTGGTAAAAAAAAAAAAGTCATAATTTCCTTATTAGACCTTATAATAAATGATGGAGGGAGCATATCAGATCAGATTCAAAATCTCTTGAGCCCAAAAGGATGTATTGGGTCAGGTACAAATGTAGATTGGGCTTTCCCTTTAGGGAGCATGGGGCGCCTCCAAATCCCAACAATGGTATGGGCCTCTCTTTAGGTCTTTTCAAGTCCATCCAATGCTGCTTTTAGTCTCCAACTTAAGCCCATTTTATTACCAGTTTTTTTGAATACAGCAGGCAACCCATCTTTTTTGGTTTTTTTTTTTTAATCATTTCGACCAACGGCCTTTTTGATTGCTCCTGCATTTCAATTTCAATTTAACGAATGTGTATTTTTTTTTAAAGATGAAGTCAACTTTTTAATTTAAATATTGTCAAAGAAAGAGAAGGTAATTTACCATTATTTAAATAGCCATTTTGATTTAACTTGAAACATGTGCATCATATTGGAATCTGGTTGAAATGAAATGATGCAAGTAAGAGGAGTGCCCAAATCTTCACGCAAACTACCCAATATGTTACCGTTTCCTTGCTCAGATTATTACTTTACTCAAATAAATGGAGCAAACCAAAGAAACAAGTAATGGTTTGTTTTAATAGGACGCATTTCAGATATCCGCAAAGGCAGAAACTCAGTGAATCAGAAAATTTATAATTGAAGATACGACAGGAAAAAAAAACCCATTTATAATAAAAGTCGCACTAGTGTATATAAAGATTTTATATTTAGGATTAGAGGAGTAAAACATCTAAAGTTCACTAGAAAAATATATTTTATAAACTTGAATTAAACGCCTGATGTCTAGCAGCAGCATTTTAAAATATAAGATCAGGGAACGTGGCTTTGAATATGTGAAATTTCGAAATAGACACTTTATTGGAGCCAGTAAACGAGCGAGGCGAAGTCATGCGCAGGGTCAAATATGATGTGAGTTGGTGCCCCGCTGGAGACCGGAGAGGACCCCCCAATCATGGCTATTTGTAGACAATACACTTGTTCCTGTAAAGTGAACGGTTCCTCGTATTAGCTGGCAAGATACTGCTTTATTTTATTTTAAAAAAGTTACCTGCTTATTAATTATTACTCACTCTTCTTCATATTTTCTTTTTTTTACTTTTTAAAATGCAAATGAATGAAATAAGCCTCGCATCAAGACAAAGCATTTCTTGCGTTCGGAAAAGCGAAGGGAAGATCCGAAGTATTCTTGACCAGGACGGGGCATGTCTTCTGACTCACACTCTTGCTTTTCCAATTCTGCCCTCGCTTATTTCCCAATATGCTTCATATTGGATTCGGCTGATAATGTCCAAACAAGAATACGTGGATTCTATGATCTGTTCTGTCCTTGTCTTCGTCTGCGTTGTTGTCTGCTTTTAATAACGTTTGATTATTTGTATATTTTCCCTCTCACGTCATTTCTCTGAATGGTGGACTGGACGCGTCCTATTCCCATATTTATTTCCAGCCCTCGCCCTCTCCTCACCCTCGTGTGTTCATGTCCTTTTAAATAACATTTTGACCCAATTCTGAGAGGAGGAAAAAAAAAAAAAAGAAAGATAATCTTTTGTTTGTGTATATTTTGAAAATAGCTACTCTACTCAAAAAATAATTTTCTGGGCACATGTATGGAAATAGAAGGCATGGCAAAGGACGCTTTTTCTCTGAGCCACGAAACATTATAGAATATGATTATCCTCACAAAATTTCCTGGTTCTTTTAAGTCATGCAAGAGGTTAGTTCGTTGCACACAATTTTTTTTAAAAAATTTTTAATTAAAAATAACGGTCCGTAACAAGTTAAACATGTGACGGTTGCTTGGGCCATTGGACAACGGGTATTTTTTAATCTTCAATTCCAAAAACTACTCTAAACGTAATCGGCGGTGCAGAAAACTGTTAAGAAGAATGGGGCATTTATGGAACTTCACGGATTCATTCTCATCATTCTTGCTGGCTTGAGAGCCACATCATGATTGCATTCCTTCCAACCTCACACTAAACAGTCATACGTTTCTCTCTCTCTCCCCCCCCCCCCTCCGTTCTCAGTTCTGCTTCAAGGCGACTCCTATCTGTTCGTGACGATTGCAGCCCGAGCTGTTTCTTCCCTTCTTTGTCTCTCTGCTCTCATCGTTGGCCACGGAATTTGTCAAACTGCGTTCAACATCTAAATAGTAGTAGTTTTTGCTGTGCAAATTGCATATACTGCTGCTACTAAGTCATCGCAATGCAGGTCAGTACTTACCGGATTCTAGGCTTAACTCTCTCATATCGTCACGCTTCTAGTTCGGTTTTATTGTCATAATTAGAAACTCAATCGGTTTTCTCTGTTTGGGTTTTCCAGACAAGGACGGTTCAAGTAAAGAATGTTTCAGATCTAGCTACCGAGAGGGAGGTTCACGAATTTTTCTCGTTTTCTGGAGAAATCGAGCACATTGAGATTCAAAGGTGGGCATTTTACGCACCGGAATGTTTGATTTCTATTCTTTTCTTCCTGTTATTCGAATTCAAGTTTGGTTATTTTGACATACCTCCCTCTGGGTGGATGCTCTGAGAAAATGGGAGAGAACAAAGGACAGGCAAGAAATTACGAGCACTTTTACTTTTCATCTAATGGTATTAATTTAATTCTTCTCCCGAAAAAGCTAAGTGAGCAGGGTTTAACTATTGTGAAGTGCGCCGCCCCCAGTTTGCCTCTCTACTTTCCTCTTTGGTATTCCACCCCACTGGGAGCTTAGAAAACGTCATCGAAGATTAAGTGAAACTTAGATATTTTGTATGTGAATTTGCGTGATAGAGTGGAATAGGCTCTACATTTGTTTCAGTCTCTGCATCTATTTCTCTTCTTCGTGCATATGATAAACGACCGTATTAATTATGATGACGGGATGGTTTTGTCTGTTGGTTGTAGTGAATCGGGGAAATTAAAGACAGCGTATGTGACATTTAAAGATCCAAAGGCGCTTGAGATTGCGTTATTGTTATCGGTAATTTCTCTTTCCTTTTATGCGTGTTCGTGTAGTTGTGGCAAACCTGAGGCTTTACCTTATACTATGACTACATCTGTAAGAAACGGTCTTCAGTTAATTCCAACTTACATGTATGTCAAGATTGAAAGTGGTTCAGTGCATCTCTTTTGGGTTGGGGTGTTGTTTTTTTATTCCCCCCCCCCCCCAATTGGTCTGTAATGTGTTGTGCAGAAAGCAAAACGCTTTTAGAATGTTGAAGTTGTTTTTGTTAAGAGATTTATTTGCTGAATATAGAATATTGAAGTTTTTTTAACATTTTCTGCCTGATTCCTCTTTGAAGAACATCTAGAGTCACATGCCTTTATGCTTTGGACATAATGTTTTGATTTTTCATATGAAATTGGGAGTTCCTATGCTTTTGCACTTATGTGACCTGAGAAACTGAAAGTTCTGCTCTATATTTTGCAGGGAGCGACAATAGTAGATCAGATTGTGAGTATAACTCCAGCCGAGAACTATGTACCGAAACAAGAGATGGAGGTAAATATATTAAGACCTGATTTTCAATGCTATATTTATGCATGATAATCTGGAATTCTAATATGTTCAAGTGCAATTTGCGCAGGAAGTAATGGTGGTAGCAAGTGCTACAAATGTTGCTCCTGTTGAAAATATTACACCAGATGTTGAGGTGGAACTGAAAATTCAACGTCTAATATGTTTTCCTTGCCTGATGTGCTCCTTGAATATTCAGTTAAATTATATGCATAACATGTTGCATTGACCTTTTGATCATTTAGTGAAAAGTGCCTGTATCAATAAACATTTAATTATATAGAACTAGTTTTCTAACTACTTTACTTTTGTCTTGCATGCTTATAATTTTCTGAAGCACCTGAAGTTTATTTTGCAGTTATTAGTAGTGTAGTATTGCATTCTTTTCTGGAGTGAGCTAATGACCTGTTGTGCAAAATCTCTTTGTGCAGGATAAAGCAAACCCCACTAACAGTGGAAGAATGTATATTAATAGAGCACAAGATGTAGTTACAAGTATGCTCGCTAAAAGTTCAGCAATTAGACAAGATGCACTGAATAAAGCTAAAGCGTTCGATGAAAAGCATCAGTTTACTGCCAATGCATCTGCTAAGGTTGCTTCTTTTGACAAGAGGGTTGGTCTTACAGAGAAATGGACAATTGGCATTTCTGTAGTTAATGAGAAGGTGAAGTATGTTGATCAGAGGCTTCATGTTTCAGATAAAACAATGGCCGCAATTCTAGCAGCTGAGAGGAAGTTAAATGATACTGGATCAGCGGTCAAAACAAGCAGGTTCAAAATGATGTTTCTCACAACATGCGAATAAATGTTGCATCACTGATTGTTATGAAAGTTATTTTTTAATTTGCCCTAACTTCTGTGCCTGATGATGAGCTGCGTAAGTTAGCCTCTTGAGCCAATTGCCTTTTATTACTTTGTCTTAATAAGCTCCCTTTCCTGCAAGGAATCATGAACAAGGGAAACGGAGAAATAATGGATATTTGTGCGGATATCTAGGAAACATAATTTCCTAATTCCTCTTAGGATCTTAAGGATTTGATTACCCAAGTATAAAGCCCATGCGGTGATGAGCTATTAAATGGGGTTAAAGAAGTTTTTTTTCTTTGTGAGGGGCGGGGGGCTTCAGTTGCGATGGCAACAAACCTAGGTTTTTTTATTGATCAATGCATTCTGCGGGCAGCTAGTTACTGAATATATGCTTCTGAGGTTCGTAATTGTTATTGTGGCAATAAGAAGGTTGCAATTCACAATGTCGTTGAAGATTCTCACTGATCCTACGGGGGCTTTCATTGATTTGAATATCCATGTCTCCTTTGACAAGATTGTATATCTGTTACTGGAGACAATGACAGTACTCTTGATAGATGCTTCTGTGAAACCAAGCAGCTTTCATGGTTTATTAATCAATATCATGGAATTGCACCTTGTTAGTTGATCTTCACTTTCTAGCTTAAAATTTGTTTATTCCTTGTTGCTCGGAGACATGATGGCGAATGCCAAATAATGGTCTCTGTTGTGGTTGCTGCACCTGTTCTTCAACTTTCTCGATGCTAGTTCAATCCTCCTCCCTATAAGAAAATACAGTTAAAAAGGAAAATAAATTTAGACAATTTTGTTGTTCCTACCTGGGTGGAACATAGGTAGGAGAGTAGCAAAATATGCATAAATATTGTGGCTCATTTTTATTTCTAGTGTGTTTTTTAAAGTACTGATAACAAACCATATGCCTGTCTATGACTTACCTTTTGGTTCTCCACAGATATGTGACTGCTGGAACGACATGGTTAAATGGTGCCTTTGGTAAGGTGGCAAGGGCTGGACAACTTGCCGGTACGAAAACCAGAGAAAAGTTCCATGTGGCTGTATCTAACTTGACAGCGAAGGTGAGTTCTGCTCTTACAATATGAGCCTCTCTATTCTGTAATGTCTTTGAACTCTCTGTATGGAAACACTAAACACAATCGCGGGAGAGGAAGAGGGGAAAATTCTTAAATACATGTGGGTGTGCATAGGCATCGATTGTCACCCAAGAAATTAGTATAATGTGATTTCGTCCATCAATGCAGGAGCCGCCAGTTGCTGCATAAACCAGAATTTGGTAATCATAGGTTACATCAAGAGATCTCTTTATATGATGACATTTTTTTGGAACATGCTGCGATGTCAAGCTGTTTGGCCTTGGAAACGGAAACACAGAGTTGCAAAACAGGAGGAGAGACAGGAAGGCACTGGTTGCTGTGTTTGTCTTCCTAATCCGTCAGCAGTTTGTTTCACGTGGCAAGTGTTGTGATTAATTTTTATCCAATGCTTTATTCTTTTGTCACTATCTATGGTTTGTCGATGTTGCTTCTTTGTAATTTCAGCAGTGGTAATTCTGGTTTTCGTGTGGGAAGGAAATTATAGATGCAATGCGAGTGCTGTTCTCTTCACCTCAAAACATTAGCTGAGCATGTGCTATGAGATCTCTTACATGTATTCCTGTTACCAATGCTTTTTAAAAATTGTTGGAGAAATTATCTTCATGACTGCTTTTTCTGTTTTCTAAAATAAAACAGTATTCCCTGGAAAGAATGGAACAACCCAACATGAAAACAACTCAGTTTAAGCTTTCGGTGTCTATCATGAACGTAACATGAGAGTAGATCTTAATTTCCCATGCATTTTGCTGTGTCTTCATACCCACCTTCTACTTCATTTTAAAGGGGCGAATGATACTCCTAGGATGCATCTACAGTTAATGGCCTATGTCATAAAACCGCAGACTGACTATTCCCCCCCGGGGGGGGGGGGGGACATATTCCCCTTCTTGACCCTCCCCTCCAAAATTGGGGAAATAGGGGCGGGAAAGGTATTTTTTTGGTCTTGTTTTGGCTAAAATGCCCCAATCTTAGGGGAATAATTTTACTTGACCCTATCTTGCTGGTTCCTCTTTTCCACGGACGTGTTCGGTGCTCGCTTCATCAGTGTCGGCCTCATTGAAATAGAGACCATGTGCTTAGTCTTGTATACCGACTTTAATTCAGTGAAGTCAGACCCAAAAAAAAAAATCTGCACTTTTCGTTTGTATAAATATAATTTATTTTCATATTATAAATGGTTTAATCGGATAGTAATCCAGTAATTGGGTCGAGGAAACACGTGTAACTTGGTCTCCACGTCAATGCGCTTCGTCGAAGAAGGGATATCTTTGTACCATATGGCACTTGGTTCAATTGCATTTGTGAGGAAATTGTATCAACTTTGCTAAATGTTTCGAATTTAGACGTGAGAATGCGACAATATTAGTGGCAGAGCTTGCCACCCGTAAGGATACTGGCCCAGTTTAATAAAAATGTGAGGATTTTTTATTTTTTCATTTTTCCCTTCAAATTTGGTCAGCGCGAATCAGCCTAGAGAAGAGGCAAGTGTTATCCACATATTTATTCTTTTATTCATAATTTAAAAATATGATTAAGTTATTAATTTTATTCTTAAAAGAAAATACTCCTTCGATCTTTAATATAGGACTCAATTGTTGAGTTGATTTTAGTCCTAAATATAAGATTTATTTCTCATATTTATTATTTTTTTAAATTACTCCTATAGGTATTCTCTCAAGCATAATCAAGGAGAAGAGGGGGAGAAAGTATTAAGAAAGATAATTATGACATTTTAAGAAAAACATGTCACATTTCTTATAATTAACTAACTTACCTAACTTTTTTAATTTAATCAAATTAGTTAAGTGAATCTTATATTAAGGATAGGAGGAGTATTAAGGACAGAAGCAGTAATTTTGCTGGGGAGAGTGATACGCCGACCTTGCGTCCTTGACCTCAAATGAGAAACTCGCGGGAACCAGGGTCTTTTTGGTCCAAACAAAAGTCTTCAGTTCCGAAAGTGTCCTCCATTTTCTGATCCCCGTTTCGTAGATTCTCTCTTCCCACTTCCTGCTTCTTACTTATGCGTTGCTCTGGTGATACTCACGGTTTTGGTGCTCTTCTTTGCCCGAAACACCACCCATAACTTCTCTGCTTAAAACCAAGGAGATGCTTCGTTAGTTGGACAGTTGTGGATTTGTCTATTAACAAAGTGTATGTCTTGGTTGCGGATTTTGGTTTTTATATTTAGCAAGTTAATTCCATCAATTATTTCGGATTTGTTTTGATTTTTGATATTCTATGAACAAAATATTCTGGTTAAGGTCGGTGATCGAGGCAATGTTTCAAGCGGATAGGTATTGCATTGTTGTTTCTGTTTCGAAGCCTTTCAGTCGCTGACTTGCTGTATTTCAACTTATTCTCTTTTTTCTGCAATAGGTGTGTCAAATATAATCGGGTTCGAATGGTTTCACCGAAATTTGGTCTGGTTTTCGATATATGTTGTTTGCTGCATCATTTTCGACGTTTATAGTCCTCACTTTGTGTCAAGTTTGCATTTTCACTTGACCAGGCGCAGCTGGCAAGGATTGGCGTTTCAAATAATGTTTTTCTTTGGATGCTGTTTTTGTTTTGCTGATTTAAATCATTTTTTAGTTCTTGTGGCGAATAATATAATGTGTCGGGTTGAAAATAATGAGTGAGTTTCCCGATGGAAAGATCAGGTAAGAGACTGCAGATAGATATGGGAATATGATATTTGGCGCTTTCTAGGTCTTGCCTTTCAAACGATAATCTATTAGCAAGTGGGAACTCAATTTGCATCTTAAACTTCCCGAAAGGTTAGCGTCGACGTCGAATTTTCATTTCAGTGGTTAACATTAGTTTGATCATTGTTCACATTAGTTCTGTGAATTCTTGAGCCTATAGATCTTGCATTGGTGAGTAGAGTTAGAGAAGTACATCATCATTTGACGTGGCATTATAATCGTACTATGTAGCTGTATCATTGAGTCCTGCATATCTTTTATCATCATTTTGTGTTGAGACCCTTCTATTTCTGCTGAAAAAACATGACTTCAATTTGAGGACTTTCCTGATTTGTGATATGTTTGACCCAAGCAACTTGAATGCCAAATACTAGATGGATGTGGGGGAATCGCATGTTCTTCTTTTGTTCCCATTTAAATGTTATGAGTTTCCCTCAAGTATTATCTTACTGACTGAAGAATTCCAACATCATGTTGCTTCTCATTGTAGATCTCGTTGCCTACGAACTGTTTTGGTAGTCAATGACTGCTTTAACTTGTTTGTGCATGCAATAAGCATGGTGGTGGTGGTGATGTTGATGGAGAGCTACTGAAGCAAAAACTTTTATGACGGGCTATCTGCCTTATTGTTTTGATTGCTATATTAGAAAACCGTTTTGATGGACGGGGCCAATATCTGATGGACTGCTGGGCTTGAGTAATGTTTTAAGTATTGGGGAGCAATCTGTTGGAGAAAACAATTATACAGTGTCTAGCTTTTGGCGTAATCATATAGTTGATTGAGGCATATGACTGCAAAGCTGTTAGATTTAGCTCTCAGACCTCACATTAAATATTTTCCAAGATAGCTTCTATATATTTCGGGTGCAATTCTGCAAGGATGGATAAAACTGTTTCTCCTCAAGCATTGCGGACACCTGATCGCAAAATTTTATCTGCTAATTCACTGAAAGATTTGTGGCTTGTTGTGCGAGAAGGATCGCTAAATGATGTAGAGGCAGTCTTGGCATTATCAAAGAAGAATGGAATCAATATCAATTCAAGGAATATATTCGGGCTGACCCCTCTTCATATTGCCACTTGGAGGAACCACATCCCCATTGTCAGGAGGCTTCTTGCAGCTGGTGCAGACCCTGATGCTCGAGTAATGAAAAATTTTTAAATTTTTATTTCGTAAATGTCAGTCTTACAAATATACACCTGTCCCTTTCTTCATTTTATTTTAGGTAGGAGGTTACTTGGTTTTCTTAGATTTAGGACGTGTTTTGACATTCTCCTCCATTTTTATCTATAATGTCTTGGTCAAATGTACTTCTAAAGCAAATTCTATGAAGGAAAAGTTGCGATGACTGATAAAAAATAATTGCAGTCATGAATTCATCAACAAACTTTTAATAAAATTTCCTTTTGTGTGTGTTGTTTGTTTTGGCTGTGGATTTTTTTTTTTTTTTTAATTATGATGGGGATGAACTAATGGCTAGTAATGCCTTTAGAAACCAAGCAACACAATCTGGTATATTACATATTCTTACTGCAATCATGCAATGAGTTTGCGTTGTACAAGGTTAAATCATTTCAGTCAATTCTCCCCTATCTTTTTTTTCCCTTGCTTGAGTGCTTACGCTAGAAATAAAATGTCACAGATGGTACCCACTGGCCTAAAAGGGTTCTAATAGTGTGAAATTTAACTAAAACAGCTTCTGATTGTCTTTTGCTTTTGTGTGGAAAAAAAATCTTTATTTATCGTCTTATTTTGAAGATTATTCAGATTTTAGGAGAATTTGAAGTCTCATGAAACCAAGAACTGTCCAATTCTCAGGTTTTTCCTTAAGGGCCATTTTATTTCTTTTGGAACTTACGTCTCATTAGTCTGAAACTTGCTTCACTTTTAGGATGGAGAATCAGGATGGAGTAGCCTTCACAGGGCTTTGCATTTTGGACATCTTGCTGTGGCAGGCATCCTTCTTCAGCATGATGCCTCTATTACAATGGAGGACTATAAATGTCGAGTACCTGTAGATCTCTTATCTGGCCCTGTGTTCCAGGCCTTTAGAAGTGAATGCGATTCAGGTATGAATTGCTGTGCTCTGACTACTTTGTAATGGTTCAGTTAGTTGTTGCCAATGCAAAGTAGTGATAGAAGAGGCTGAGAAATTATACTATGATATTTTGGGCATAGTTTCTACTGAGGTCTTTAGTTGGGGAAGTGGCACAAATTATCAGCTTGGAACTGGAAATGCGCACATTCAAAAGTTACCATGCAAAGTTGATTCCCTTGGCGGTTCGTACATAAAGTTGATTTCTGCCGCAAAATTCCACAGTGTGGCTGTTACAGCTGATGGAGAAGTGTATACCTGGGGATTTGGAAGGGGTGGCCGTCTAGGACACCCGGATTTTGACATCCATAGGTAAATGTTATATTCCAATATGAGGGCTGATAGGCATGGTTTAAGTTAGTTTTGGTATTACCATCATGTTTGGAATTGCATTTTTGCTTATGCTGTCAATATTGAACATAAAGGGTAGTACCTGTTGTTTAATCTCTTTCTCCCCTTCCCCCCTTTTTGAGTGTCAGCAAGGAGTATTCTCTGTCAGCAGCAGAGATTAATCTCCCTCAAGGTATTTTGGCTACTTTTCTCTTTTAAGCTTTAGAGGTTCTATCTGGATGCAGAAAATCAGAAATATTTTACTTAGCTTTGATACTTAGTAGAGGGGTTTTAATGAAAAAAGGAGTGTTTGTTGTGACAGAAATATCACAGCAAGACCAAATGGACCCTTATTTTAGTCGGCCTTCTCAGTAAAATTTAGGCAGTGTTCATGATTTTTTTCCTTTTAAGACTTTGTCAAGGTGGGTTTTATTTTTATCTGTTCATGCTTTTTGGACTACTGCCAA